GGGGGGGGGGGGGGGTTGAGAGGTGAGTAGAGCAAAATATTTGACAAAGATGTGATAAATGGTTAAAACTTTCCAACAAAAAAAAAACTCTAGTAAGGAGAAACGTTCCATACAAATCACAAACAATAATAAACTATGAAAAAAAGCTTTGAGCACTTTTAAGGAACTGGCACAAATAAGACAAATAAATACATACAAAATTCATGAGCAAAAGTCATTTGAAACCTAGCAACTAAGGAGTCACATTACAGGTTGGCCTATTGTCACCTCTCTAATCAAACCTTGCCTCTACGGAACACATTACCTGAAGTCGTAGAGTTTAAATTTTGGATCGATTCGCTTTTGTCAAAACCAAACTCTATGATTCTCAACAATTTGAATTTACCGTCACGTCATCTTATTATCTTACAACATGAGTCTTTAAGTTAATTAATGTGCCCTCAAACACTAAAAACTGGGAGATTTAATGCACAAATAAGAAATTGTTAGCTTAAACATTAAGATACACAGTTAAGAAGAAAAAGAAGAAGAAAAAAAGTGGGAGTGTGCATGTTTGCTTCACAATGAAGAAAGATTAGAACGTGCCATAATTTTCTATTGGCAAATCTATCTGTACCGTAGCCATTAGCCAACTTCGATTTAAAAAATCATTCTGTTAGATCGTGGCATAGATGTGTTGAGGATTTTTTTCATTATAGTAAATTGAAAGATCTCTTCTTTTTTAAATGACATTTGTATTTTGACCAGTTTGCACGCTAAATCAATTATTTCATGGGATAATTGCTACCTTACATTATGGGTGTCAAGGGGCCGGGCCGGGTTAATGAAAAGGGAGACCAGCCTTTCTCCGTAGTCTGTACCAGTCCGGTTACCGATTTTACCGGTTTCGTGCCTTGTCGGTAAAAATTTAAACCGGAACGGTTCCGAACCAATTTTTTATTTTTTTATTTTGTATAATTATCAAAATTCATTATTAAGATAAAGTAAAGATGTAAAACATAAAAAAAAATCTTATAAAAAGAGTGATTGAATAAATTTCAAAGGCTTTAAAAGCCTTATATTTGAAATTTTGAAAAAAAAACTTCAAAGGCTTTAAAAGCCTTATATTTGAATATTTCATTAAGAATTTAAGATAATACAATGAAGATAGAAAAAAAATTAACTTCTAATTTGCAAGTTCTTTTTTTAATTCAAATTTGCAAATTAAAGTTTACATTTTACAACAACTAAATTAAAGAAAAAAGAGTAAATTCAAATTTGAATTATTAAATATAAATCAAGAACTTCAAAAGCTTTGCATTGCCTTAGTAAGTTCTTAATAATCAATATGAACTTCTTGGCCATCTTCTGGAGTGCTAAATTCAGATGGGTTACCATGTATTAATATATCTCCAAGTTCCTCGTCTTCTGGTTTATCAACATCTTCACGTCCTTAATTTTTTCGTTCCGATCTAACCTAATATCTGAAACATACTAAAACTTCCAAAGCATTGATTCCCAATGAGTGACAGGTGTCTCCTAGTTGTTATCTTGCTTGACTAAATGCACTTTCTGATGCAACTGTTGAAATTGGCACATTTAGCACGTCCCAAGCCATAGTGAAAAGAACATCAAATTGCTTTTCATTCTCATGCCACTATATCAACGGTGAAAATTTCTTTGTGTGAGGCTATGTTTGCTTTTGCAAGTATAATTGAAGTTCATCAATGTTCCTACTGCTAGTTTGAGTGGAAAAAAATGTAGACAAAATATTAAAACCATCAAGGCCTTTATCTTCATCCACAGTAGCAGATGCAGTAAAAGTAGTACAATGCATAGTGAAATTAACATTGCATACATTAATAACAGCATCATCAATTATATTTATATAATAATTATATAATTATTGCAAATAATCATTTAGCTTGTTCATACAACAATATATATCTAGGGTTTCAGTTGGTCCAATCTCCATATAAGTATATAAAACATTGATTAATTGGTGACAATTAGACATCTTAATAGAAGGATTTAAAACAGCACCAATTAAGTAAATAGGAGGAATTGGAAAGAAATGTTTATTGAATTTTGCTTGCATTTTTTCAACAACATCCTTATATTTTTCTTTCTTCTTAAATTCAGAGAGTAGAAAAAAAAATTCAGCTATATGTACTAAAACCATAGTAACAGTAGGATAATATGCTCCAGAAAACTCGACAATAGATATATAAAATTTATGTAAAACTTTAACAACGTCACTAATGGCCTCCCAAGTGTTAGTTGTTAACATACAGTTTAAATCAGTACAATGCGCATTAGCAACTTTAGTTATCGGCAATCTATATTTGTACCAATATTTTAAAAATAAGTATGTATAATTCTATCTAGTAATAATTTCATCTGGCATGAATCTGGGGTTAAAGTTATGTTCGGTACGCTTAGTCTTAAATTCCCTAATTCTAGATTGTCTATTATTTCCTTGAATAACACTAACCGCTCTTCTAACATGAGTAATCTCAGTCGAAAATAAATTAAGGCCATTTTTAACAATTAAATTATAAACATGACATGCACACCTACAACAACAACAAACCCAGTATGATCCCAACAGGTGGGGTATGGGGAGGGTAGTCTGTACGCAGACCTTATCCCTACATAATGCAGGTAGAGAGGTTGTTTCTAATAGACCCTCAGCTCAGGAAGGGTAAGAAGAAGAAGAGGAAATCAAGGAAGGAAGTAAGAAGGAAGAGAAAAGAAAAAGGGGGAGATAAAGAATAAGTAGTACCAAATAATAGCAACAGGGAATACAATACTTGAGGCTAACAAAACTACATAACGTAATACAAATCTAAGAATATGAAGGGACATGCATGCTACTAAGACTATCGGTGAACAACTAAAAACTACCCACTAACCTTCTACCTTAATCATCCACCTCCACACCCTCATATCAAGAGTCATGTCCTCAGTGAGCTGCAGCAGCACCATGTCCTATCTAATCACCTCTCCACAGTACTTCTTAGGCCTACCTTGACCTCTTCTCAAACTCTCCATGGCCAATCTCTCACACCTCCTGACAGGAGCATCACTGCTTCTTCTTTTAACATGTCTGAACCATCTCAGCCTCGACTCCCGCATCTTATCCTCCATGGAGGCTACTCCTACTCTGTCCCGGATAACTTCATTCTTAATCCTATCTCTCTCGGTACACCCACACATCCATCTCAAGATCCTCATCTCTGCTACTTTCATCTTCTGCACATGGGAGTTCTTGACTGGCCAACACTCAGTTGCATACAGCATAGCCGGTCGAACCACCACTCGATAAAACTTACCCTTAAGTCTTGGAGGCACATTCTTATCACATAAAATACTGGAAGCGAGCCTCCATTTCATCCATCCCGTTCCGATGCGATGTGCGACATCTTCGTCAATCTCCCTGTTACCTTGGATAATAGACCCAAGATACTTAAAACTCGATCTCTTGGGGATAACCTGAGCATCAAGCTTAACCTCTACGTCTGCATCATGGGTCCCGTCACTGAATTTGCACTCCAAGTATTTTGTCTTGGTTCTACTCAGTTTGAAATCTTTAGACTCCAAGGTCTGTCTCCATACCTCCAACCTCGCATTAACTCCGCTACGCATTTCGTCAATCAACAATATATCATCGGCAAATAGCATGCACCAAGGCATCTCCCCTTGGATGTGTCGCGACAGTACATCCATCGCCAAGGCAAATAAAATGGGCTAAGAGCCGGTCCCTGGTGCAACCCCATCACCACAGGGAAATGCTCTGAGTCACCACCCACAGTCCTCACCCGAGTCTTAGTATCATCATACATATCCTTAATCACCGTAATATACGTTACCGGAACGCCGCTAACCTCCAAACACCTCCACATGACCTCCCTCGGGACTTTATCGTATGCTTTCTCAAGGTCAATAAACACAATATGCAAATCCTTCTTCCTCTCCATGTACTGCTCCATTAATATCCTTACCAAATGAGTCGCTTTCGTAGTCGAACGCCCCGGCATGGATCCATACTTATTCTTAGAAATAGACACGCACCTCCTCACCCTGGCCTCCACCACCATCTCCCAAACCTTCATAGTGTGACTCAACAACTTGATACCCCTATAATTGTTGCAATTTTGGATATCACCCTTGTTCTTTTAAAGCGGGACCATCATACTCCACCTCCATTCTTCGGGTATCTTCTTCTTCTTAAAAATAACATTAAACAGCCTAATGAACCACTCCAAACCTGCTCGCCCCGCGCTCTTCCAGAATTCCACCGGGATTTCGTCTGGCCCTGTCGCTCTACCCCTGCACATCTTACGTATCTCCCCTTTTACCTCCTCTACCGTAATCCGCCTGCAGTACCCCAAAATCCTGCCGACTCTCAGAGTGCTCCAACTCACCCAGCACAATGCGTCTATCCCCCTCCTCGTTCAACAGTTTATGGAAGTATGTCTGTAATCTTCTCCTAATAAGTGCCTCGTCCATCAACATTTTGCCATCTTCGTCCTTGATGCACTTGACTTGGTCTAAGTCACAGGCTTTCCTCTCCCTCACCTTAGCCAACCGGTACGACTTCTTGTCCCCGCCTTTGCCCCCGAGCTTCACGTACAAATGGGCAAACGCCGCGTTCTTAGCCGTCGTAACTGCTAACTTCGCCTCTTTCTTTGCCTTTCTGTAACACTCCTGATAAGTCCTTTTTTCCAGCTCGTTTGTACTCTCCGCTAGCTTCAAAAAATAGCTTTCTTAGCTTCCACTTTACCTTGAACCTCTCCATTTCACCACCAGTCCCCTTTATGGCCCCCAGGAGAGCCATTTGTGACCCCTAAGACCTCTCTAGCAATTACCCTAATGTAATTCGCAATCGTAAAACACATCCTAGACGCATCCCTCATACTCATCTAGGCCCTCATAGCCAATAACTTCTCCCCTAACTCCTGAGTTTTGTCCTTGGTCAAGTTACCCCACTTGATCTTAGGTTTCCTGCACCCCGCCCTCTTCCTCCTACTCCTCTTGATCTCCAGGTCCATAACTAGGAGCCTATGTAGGGTCGTGAGGTACTCACATGGGATGGCCTTGCAGTTAGTGCACAGACCTTTATCGCATTTCCTGCAGAGAAGATAATCAATCTGAGTCTTGCCCGTTGAATTCCGTAAAGTGACCAGGTACTCTTCCCTCTTCGAAAAACTCGAGTTAGCTATAACCAAATCAAAAGCACTAGCAAAATCCAACAGTGAATTACCTCCCTCGTTCCTATCCCCAAAACTGAACCCGCCATGCACATCATCATAACCCCTAGCACTAGCCCTAATATGACCATTGAAATCTCTACCAATGAATAATTTTTCTGTGTGCGGGATACTACGCACCATCTCGTCCAAATCCTCCCATAATTGCTTCTTGACCTCCTGGTCCAAACCTACCCGAGGAGCATATGCACTAATCACGTTTACAGTAAACCCACCAACTACCAGCTTAATACTCATCAACCTATCATTTACCCTCCTAACCTCGACCACGAGCTCCCTGAGGTCCCTGTCAACTAAAATACCTACCACATTCTTACCCCATCGATTCCTGAGTACCATAGTTTAAACCCGTCTACATCTCGTGCCCTAATACCCTTCCATCTAGTCTCCTGAACACACGCTATGTTGATCTTCCTCTTCTGAAGAATCTTACCCAACTCTATAGACTTCCCCGTCAACATCTAAATGTTCCAAGACCCAACTCTCAGCCTAGAGGCTTTCTTAGCCCCCCTCCCTCCCCTTCCCACCCCTGGACCNCCCAACCGAGGACATGACCTTACTCTCACATCGTTCACTACTGCCACTATAAGCAAAAGGTATTAGGTAAACACTACCACTAAGAATAAGTAGCGGGAACGAATGACTACAAGCTATGAATCCGAGAGCTAAAAATAACTCAAAGAAACTACCACCAGAACAGTAACACGAGCAGGCACTAGAACAATGAATCTACCACGTCTTAGAAACTACCCCTATGCAAACACAGAATTAAAATAGATAGATGAAACCTTAAGTTTAAAACACTAGTAGAAAAGATAGAAAAAGCAATCAATCCAATTAAAATTAATGGCAAGGCAACAATAAATACATGCGCGCAAATATAATTCAAGAAATATGGAACCTAGATCACATTCGGGGATGTCCGGACATGCTTCCAAATCCGCTGAATGTTGGTGCCTCCCGAACCCGTGTGTAGGAAAGTTTCAGCGATTTGTCAATTTCATTGGAATGGTATAAAAACAAGAAAAAGTGGCAGAAGAGCAGCCGTCGTAGTTAAAGAAAGGAATTGAGAAGTTCGTTCGCCGGAATGCAATCGCAGCGGCAGTCGGAAAATCTCAATTCGATAATCAGAACTTGACACGAGAACTTTTACAACTGGCTAAATAAAATCTCAACCTCGCCGGAATTGAGAAGTTCATTCGCCGGAATCTCACTCCCAGTCTGTAAAACACCTAATCAAAATCTAGACTTAAGTAAGAGATCCCTTCAAATCCCCAGAATCCTTCAAATGAGGAATTAACGAAAAAGAAGAAACCAAACCCTTTTCTCGGCAAGAAGGGTATCAAAAAACTGAGTACCAATTTCACTGCAAAGAACTAAAACGTAAATACAAAGAAACACAACGAAAGAAACCTTGCTTAAATCGTTATCACCCGAAATTAACAGAAAACTCCACCGTAATAATCCAACAGAGGGTTCTTTATTTTTCCGGCCAAATGCAATTCAGATGTGAAAACCAAGCCAACCACAAAATTTGTTAATCTGTGAATTTTCTTATTTTAGCATGAAACACAGTGCCCCAATGGAAGGTGAAGCAGAATCAAAAGACATACACAATACTTTTTTATTAAGATTGTAAAATGTAACAACTTGGCAAATAGTAGTACTTATAAAAATACTAGTATGACTTTGGTTTTATCATATTTATAAGCAATAATACGTTTTTGCATACAATAATTATCATCTATCCAATGACATGCAATTGTCAAATAATCATTTTCATTAACAACATGGCCAATATCAGAAGTTAGAGAAACTCTACAAGTAAGGTGGTCAAACAAATAACGTATGTATGTCTGATATTGTCCATAAAGTCTAAAGATATCAGATCTACAAGTACTTATAGGGATACCTTTAAATAAAGGATTATAAATCTTTTGAATAAATATAATAAGAAATGATGAAGAAGCAAAAGAAAAGGGTAGACAACCAAAAGCAATCATTTTTGCTAACTCCTTGCGATCCTTCATTTTATCATATTTCATAAGTTCTCCAGTACTAGGGTTTAGAGTTCCTTAATTTTCATCTAAATCAGAGACCCATTCTATAGGATGAGTAATTCTTGTATGTCTACTAAGTGTCCCAGTCCCCCCTAAACTTCCTCCAGTTTTATGTTTAAAATCATCTGTACAAATTTTGCATCTAACTCTATCAGAATTCTCTATTTCCTCAAAATATTTCCAAACCTTACTTCTCCTTCCCCGATTACTAGTCGGGGCCACATGTGGTCTACTACTAGTGCCACGACCACCACCCCTGCTACATAATCCAACACTACTAGGTGTAAGTGGTGTCTCATCTTCAATTTCTAATTCATTTTCTTCTATACCAAAATCTTCCTGTAATTGTTCATAATCTATATTATTATCAGGTGATATTTCAGAAACACGTGTAAAGTCATTTAAATTACTACTAAAAGTTGAAGTAGTACCCATTTTTCTATTTTCCCGATTAGCAACCTTATTACAAACTCTTTTAGCAGCATTAAACGCATTGTAAAAATTTAATTACTAATAAAAATTAAATATGCAAATAAAATATTAAATAAGAGAGAGAGTTGGAACGAGTGCACTGAATTCTACAATAAATTGAACACTTGATGATTTTTGAAGTCTTGAAATTGAATTACGCAACTCCAATGTTACAACGAAGAAACGTCAATTGTTCGAAGTTCAAACTTCAAATAATACCGTAAATAAAATTCCAAAAAAATGAAGAGCCAAATAGTTAATTGCAATTTAGGTGAAGAATGATAGAATGACAATTGAGAATTTTGGTTTGAGAATTGAGAGGTGAATGAAGAAATGAAGAGGGAGGGGGGGGGGTATATTTATAATTTTTTAAAGGGCTAAAGTAGTAAATACTAAAAGAGTTATTTTTGAAAAAATACCCAAAAAGGGCTATTCTTGCAAAATAGCCATTGGGCAACGGTCAAAATGGCAGTTGACTGTTGCCAACGATCATTTTTTTTTTTTTGAAATAGCCGTTGAACCGGCCTGGTTAATCGATTCCAAATTGACTAGACAGTAACGGTTCTTACCGATCCAGTTAATCGGTACCACAATCCTACCTAGCACAAGTCGTTCCCCGTCCCAACCTAGCTTTGCCCGACCCCTACCTACCGGTCCGGTCCGATTCGGTCAAAAATCGGTCAGGGCCGATCCGAAACTGTCACGACCTAAATCTCTCTCTGTAGGATGTCGTGACGACACCTAGTTTTAGGGACTAGGTAAGCCTAACATTTACTGAATTAATATCAATATTAGCTAACGACTGACAATGCGAAGAATAAATCTCTGTACAATACTTACAATCTCAAAACTGGTAGTACAAGTCATTAGCTCTACTAAATTACTAGAAAGCCTACAAATACAACTGTTTTGAAATAGAGATAAAACATTGGAAGTACAATATCAAAAGGAGACTCTGAAGCCTGCGAACGCAACGACATGTTTATCTTGAATCTCCACAGCAAGATTTGTACTGCTAGCGAGTGATAAGCTGAATCCACATTACCTGGCTCCGCACAAAAATATGCAGAAGTGTAGTGTGAGTACACCACAGTCGGTACCCAGTAAGTATCAAGACTAACCTCGGTGGAGTAGTGAAGAGGTACAGTCAAGACATTCACTAGTCGAATAACCTGTGCAAGATAGCATACATCAATAATTGAAAAGAAATAGCAGTGGTAGCAACAATAATCAACTAATGATGTAAACAACAAGTATCCTTCGAATATAAAACTCTTTCAAATAAATATCTTATATCATAATCATAAAATATGGTTATCATCCCCCTTTCATTTTCTCACGGCACCTCATGCCCATATCTCTATCACAACCGCACGGACAACTCTCATGCCAAATATATCAATACATAAAATCCGCACGATTAATTTATTTTTAATAAAGTAAGGTTACAATTTTAAACTAAGTAAGAATTCAACAAAGAAATGAGTTTATTTTAGAAATAGTTTGAGTGAAAAAAATGACATTTCAACTTAAATAAAACATCATATAAGCTACTGATTTGGATGTAAAACTTATCAAATTAAAACATAATAGTAATTTCTTTTATTTAAATCAAACCAATCATCAAGAACAAGTACAAACCATAAATACAAATCCTCAAAAGTCTCGTACGAAAAAGCCAAAGCCAACACAACACTACAAGTAATACAAAACACTTAATATTAAGTCAAATAATACATCACGGAGAACACATGAATTTACATATTATGGAAAACAAAATAACCAAAGGCAAGTGCATCCATAAAGAAATATCAACAAAAATGGCACTTCCGAGGTACCGCCTCGTAGTCCCAAATCATTAATTAATTTCAACAAACAACAATGCCCCTAGTCCATCACAAGTCATCACAAATATATCCCCGCCATAGCCTACCTTATCTCGCCACGTGCGCAATAATAAAGTAAATGTCCGCCTTGTATTGCCGCACGCGCATAATAATATTTCCACCTTGTGTCGCCACATGCAAAAACCCACATATATAGCCCGACTTGTCACGCTGCATGTCCATATATCAATAGTAACAATAGCACGGCAGAAACCTCGTGCAAACACCCGACACAAACCTCTCAACAATATTACGTGCCAATATCACAATATCTCATAAATTGCATCTCAAGTGCTCAATTATCACAATAACACCCATTCCGATACGAGTTCTTTATACCAATTTTATCGAATTCTAATAACAAATCATCCTCCAAATCTTGAATTTCCATTTTTGATTTATTGTTTTACAAAAATCCCAATTTTCTCCATTAAAACTATAACGACCCGGACAATCATTTTGAGAATTTAAATCTCGTTCGGCGGTATAAAGTCTTGAGAAGATTCATATTATGTATATTGATATGCGTGCGTGGTCGAGTTCAGTTACCGGATGATCCAGAGTCAAATCGGAAGAAGGATTCTAATTTTGGAAGCTTAAGCGGTAAGAGTTGGCCGAAATTTGACTTTTGTATAAACGGTTTCGGAATGGATTTTTGGATGATTTTAACAGCTTCGTATGGTGATTTTGGACTTAGGTGTGCGTCCGAATTTGGATTTGGAGGTTTGTATGGTGATTTAAAACATTTCGGCGAAAGTTGAAAAAGTTGAAGTTTTGAAGGTTGAGAAGTTTGACCAATAGTTGAATTTGGTGATATCGGGGTCAGAATGCGATTCTGAGAGTTAGAACAGCTCCGTTATGTCATTTGGGACTTGCCTGCAAATTTTGACGTCATTCCGGGTTGATTTGATAAGTTTTGGCA